CTCACTCAGCTTATGCTGTCGCCGGAGCAACAGCGCTGGTTTTCAGTGGGCCCGAACGGATAATAACGTACGGACGTCCGCGAGTGATACATAATAATATTCTAAAACCAATACGTCTAACTATGCTGAAATTATTGATTTCAAACCAGACAAAGGTATGTACTTGTGCTTATTATACATGCACTTTATTTTTATTTTCAAAAATTTTGTTACCAGTGTGCTCTTAAATTTATTAATTAACATGTTACATATTGAATAAAACTAAATTTACGGATTTTATCGCGTTTAAACGCGATAAAATCCGTAAATTTAGTTTTATTCAATGTGTAGTGTTCGCGTAAATTTAAGAAATCATTAATATGTTACATTATTTCAAAAGTTATTATTACGTTGTATTTGTTTTCTTATATTAATATATGTATATTTTAACACTTATTTCTAAAACGAATACATAAATTACCTCAGTTATTGATTGACGACACTAAATTACACTTTTTTAGCCTACGGTCAGTGGACCTATCCGAACAGTATCCAATTTAAGGTTATATTATCATCACTCAACTTTATTAGTTGCGACCTTGACCGCCTGTGCTATGTGCCAGTACCCATTTTGGTGAGTAGTACGCTTCAGCCTATGTTCTTCTGAGTTGATATTAGATAGTTTTTATATTTTTCTTTAAAGGTTTTAATTGTTTTTAGGCTACGAAGCGGTGGCGGCTGGTCGTTCCAACACTTTGAGGCAGCGTACCTAAAGCTCCCACGAAAAGAAGCGGTGCGATGGAATGGCACAGCGAGAGAATAAGTCGACGCACGAGTTATTTTTGAATTTACGTCGCGCGACCACACCAACTTTTGGAAGAGATAAGGTGGCATATTATATTTAATTATACCAAACAGTAGTGTTGCTAAATGAAAGTGACGACGATATTTCATTTTTAAAATGTTGCCTTCGTTGATGTACGGCGTAACGTGAGTGCGTGGCGGTATCCCGAAGCAAAATCTTGCACAAGCGTTCTGAACTCGCTTTTTGACTACGAATTCGACTCGAGTTTTTGACTACGTATTAATAGACGAGGACCATAAACTACATCCATGTAATTAAATTTAGAAAGAATTAATGAGTCACAGAGCCTTATTTGAATATCTGTGTTCAGGAAATTTCTAATTTGATACAGGACTTTAAGTCTGTAGAAGCAATTTCTAGCAGTATTAAGTATGTGATTCTCGAAGCGCAAACGATCATCCATAAGCAGACCTAAATTGCGAGTTTCAGTCACACGTTCAATTTGTTCCCCTTTTATGGTGACATGAAGCCTAAGTGTATCACATTATTAGACATTGTAGAATATTCGCAATGTTTTGAATTTGCTTAGCCGTTCCTAGAATCATATACTTTGACTTATTTCCGTTTAAAACAAGAGCATTCGATTTTGACCAATCAGCAATGCCTTCTAAATCTTTGTTTAATTTGTTTATTGCTGATTGAGTTTCCTCAGGCTTACATGATATGTAAATCTGTATGTCATCAGCGTACATATGGTATCTACAATGTTTGATGTGATCTACCATATCTGCACAGTACATAGCAAACAAAAGTGGTCCTAAAATTGAGCCTTGAGGTACACCTGTTTCACAACCTTGAAATCGGAAACTAGCGGCAACCCTCTATGCTATCTATATATATATATATATATATATATATATATATATATAGATACTTGGTCATATGTCGAATTAATGGTTTTTTCAAGCGTTGGCGGCATCCGACATCTGTGTCTACCACTGCGTTACAGCGTATAAGAATAGAGAAGTTACAAGATGAAGATGTGAAATAGAAGTATAAACGCAGACTGAGAGAAAAATTTGGTATTCGAATTAGTTGTGTGCGAATGGTTTAGACTTGAATATTGTGTGGGATAATATTAAGAAAGGTTTGATGGATGCAGCCACCGAAGTATGTGGTGTACGTAAGAGAACAAATGAAAGGAAAAGTAATACGTTGTAGCGGGATGATGAGGTACGGGTGGAAATTGAATCAAAGAAGAAAGCGTGGTTAGATTTACTAGCAACCAAAGCCGGTAATTCTGGTGGTATGAAAGATGAGATTGAAAGAAAAAAGGCAGAATTTAGACGTCCAAATAAGGGAGTAAAAGAAGTAGTTGAAAGGAAAAAGAAAGAACGGATAATAATGATCGAAGGATATCTGATAATTTACAGGCTAATATAAAAATGTTCTGGAAACTCGTAAGAACTGCCAGGGGAACAAAACAGCCTATAATTAATGCTATAAGAGACGAGTGGATGTATTCTGAATGATGAAGTTTCGAATTTAAACAGATGGAAGGAATACTTTGAAAGCGTGTTTATGAGCGAAGAGTCGTCTGAATTAAATGAACTAGAAATTCCGAAAGAAGTGGAAAGGGGTATGGAGATAAGTGTAGATGAAATAATGAAAACAATGAAAAGCATGAAAGCAGGTAAGGCAGCTGGATATGATAGAATATCACTCGAGATGCTAAGGGCTGGAGAGGGAGTGGTGGCAGGCCTGCTGTACACCTTGTTTAATTTATGTTGGGAATTAAAACGGATGAACGGAAACGGATAAAATGGATTATACCGGATGACTGGTGTAAAGCAGTTATAGTACCAATATATAAAAGAAAAGGGTCACAGCAGGACTGCAAAAACTACCGTGGTAGCAGCTTGCTTAGTATTGTGAGTAAACTGTATGCTAAGGTGTTAATTGAAAGAGTTATGAAAGAAAATTATGGAAAAATTTGGGATGTGCAAGCGGGTTTTAGAAAGGGAATGGGGTGTAGAGATCAAGTCTTTTCCATGCGCATGATTGCGGAGATGTTTTTGGCCAAAAACCAGAAAGGTTTTTGTGCATTCATGGACTTGGAAAAGGCTTATGACAGAGTGGACAGGAATGTGTTATGGCAAACACTGAACTCATATAGGTTGAGCGCTGGTTTGATACAGGCATTAAGGTCTCTTTATAGGGACTCTAGTGCTTGTGCCAGGATGGACAGGTGTTTGCAAACTTTGCAAGATGAAGAATGTGGGTTAAGAATGGGCGAGTTAATCGTCAAATGCCTTTTGTATGCCGATGATCAAATCATATTTGCGTCATCGGCGGCTGAGTTGCAAATTATGGTTACATTAATGAACTGGGCATTAAAAGAAAGGGGAATAAAAGTGATCGCAAGTCTTACTTGTGAACGAAAGTGATGGTTTTTGAAAGAGAAGAAAGCAAAACGGTATGTGAAATAAGAATAGAAGGAGAGTTAATTGAGCAAGTGGATGAGTTTGTGTATTTGGGATGTGTATTTAGCAGGGATGGTAGATATGATAAGAATATAGAACGACGAGTAAATGCCGGGAATAGAGTGAATCAGGCACTACACTCTATTGTGAAGAACCAGAATGTGTCAAAAAAGGCACGTATGGTAATTCATAACGAGACGAGCACGAGAGTAGAATAAATGCAGTAGAAATGCGGTCGCTAATGAGTATGTTAGGGCTGAATCTGAATGACAGGGTGAGAAATTGGGTGATAAGAGATAAATGTGGTATGCAAGATGATGTTGTGACCAGGATTAAGAAAGGAATGCTTCGGTGGTTTGGTCATGTAGAAAGAATGAATGAGGAAAGAGTGACAAAGCAAATTCATACGGCAGATGTGAATAGCAGAGTCGGGAAGGAACGCCCTAGAAAAATGTTCATCGTCCAAATTGGCGATATTTTGAAAATTGATTGAATTGACGAGCATGTATGCGTAGATATATGGATGTAAAGGAGGCGAAAGAGGTACGTCAGGATCGTGCCAAATGGAAGTCCGTAGTCTCTGCCTACCCCTCTGGGTGATAGGCGTGAGTGTTTATATTATGTTATGTTTTGTCTGAAATGTATTTATTTTATCTTTATGCTTATTAACATAATTTTATTATGTAAAATATATCTTTTAAGATTATATAGATAGCCCCCCTTATATAGAAATTAGTTATTGATTATTAATAATAATGATGGGCCGTCACAACACTTTATATGCTGCTAAGTCTATTTGTCTTAGGTATTAACTGAATCTTCACCAGACACTCTTAGCACCGCCACCCTAGCCAGGAATAGCGGGGCCGCCGACTGGGGGCCCTCTCTTTGTAACTTTCGCCATGGGGCGATATTGCCATAGTTACTAGGCTTGTTGAATGGGTTGGCAACCGCAGCTTTTTTATTGTACTATTGTTGTAATCAGAAAGATGCGGTTGCCCATCTCCTGCCTTAGTTTCTCTCTGTCACCTTTTACGACACCTATGAAAAGATATAGGGTACTGCATATTCTTGAACCGCCTTTACACGACAAAAATAAATAAATAAAATTTCAAAGGGGTATTATGCTGTCATTTCTTGTGCAACTCGTAAGGTCAGGAATAATTTGGCTGAAATATACCGGGTTGAATTTAAATAGATTTTATAGTGACCTTTTCAATTATATATTTTACTTACAACTATAGTGTGAAATTCCGCATTTTTCGACTTCGGGTTTGATGTAAGATATAAGCCTTATACGAACAGAATTAATCAAAAATTTTTATTTTACTTAGTCATAGACTAGAAGCGTTCATAGACAACATTTTTTGATAATGCCGCGTTAATTGTGGTTTGTTTATAGAATGGAAAAGGCAACAACCTAGTGAAAGAACGAAGGTGAGAATACTATATGTAGATCAATATGTACATCTGTTGTTTCATGTCGCACACTTCTCCGTGCAAGTACATAAAGTAACATATATAAACACAAGTATTATAATTATATTACTTTATGTAAATATAAAATAACACTCCTTAGACGTATACACTGATATAAAATATGCCCAGATTAAGTTTAAAACACTTTTACAACCGTATTAGATAACGTTTGTCTTACCTGAGTAAAGGAATAAAAGGTGCTCTTACAATTATAAAAAATAAACCATAAAAAATACATACAAAACCACTTATAACTACATATGGATCGCTTTATTTCTTCTTTCCAGCTGTAACTGATATCCGTCCGAATCTCGTAACATGATGTCACACTTGACAGTTAACGGTGTCTGCAAATCAGCTTCACAAGACATCGCCTTTGGAAGGAACTTGTAGTTTCTCAGCAACGTAGCTAACACCGTCTTCATCGACATCATCGCGTACTGATAGCCTGAAGGGGTGTTGAAATACATATTATTCTTTATTGTATGAATGTAAAATTAAACATAATATTGCGTGAAAAGTTAAATATGCCGTATTAGGACAACGTGGCAGACTCCACCTTTCTCTAAGCAGTCTTTTCGCATTATCGCGACCATTCAAGAAAATTGAAAAATGTTCAGATTTCAATTCTTTTATCGGCGAAGCCGGTAATCCAAAACGACGTTTATACTGTCTTTTTTACATTTATGTTCTTGATGGAATTTTTATTTTGAAGTTTAGACATGTGTGGGCATACAAAAAATTAAAAAAGGAAAATAAATAGGTTAACTAACCAACACAGTTTCGTGGATCATTGCTGAAGAGCATGAAAGCATGGGGGTAGTGTATATAGCCATTCACGAAACGATTAGGATCAAACTTTTCGGCATCGAGACCCCAGTACTCAGGGTTACGGTGAAACGACCATATACTTACGACGACCCCAGTATTTACATGCGATGTGATTCCGGACGCTATAAAAATACACTCGTTATATATCGTAAAAAAATTAGGCAATTTCTTAATTGCTACAAGCACTAAGACTGTTACTTAAAAAAAACATCTATCAACACTACTTCTGCAAATACTTCTTTTTTTCATCCAGTTTCTTCTTCGTGGGTTATATGCTATAATTTACCATTATTCGTACATATTGACTTTTTCGTTGGTCTAGAGGTTGTAGTAGTGCGATTGTTGATCATGAGATCGTAGGTTCGAATCAAACGTCGGGCCAAAAAATTTATTACAGTTTTTCCGTCAAGAAATTCTCGGTAGCTGCCCGGATTCAAAAAGCTGGCGGTTTCTCACCCCAGTGCCTCGGAAAGCATGTAAAACTGTTGGCCCTACACCTGATATTGCCATTGGATTATGAAAGTGAGGGAATATAGAGAGCACATGTGCTTGCGCTTACACTTGGGCAGTATAATCCTGCTGTGCGCCGGTGGCTAGTCTCCGTTGAGACAGACCGCCGTGACGGGAATTCAGTTTGAAGGACATTATTATTATTATCCATACAAGCTTTGAGGCATACCGATTTAGAAAAAAATGATTGTGGCAAACTCATGAACATCTGAGTTTGCTGCTCCCATTTTTATAGAAGTAAGAGTGATAAACAAGGTATAACTGATAGTAAATAAATACTGTAACTCATAACTTACGAGTAATCGAAGTGGTCGGCGTATTGGTGGTATATTTTAAATCTGGTATAATACACCAAATGATTACCCCATCATTAGGAGCTTTAAGATCATTTTGGTAGCCCTACGATACGACATTATAATTGTAAATAAAAATTTTGTTTAAACTCATCACGTTTTACAATAAAGTGGTATTTCACTACAACTCTTCTCAAGTTCACAAGTACAAAAACATAGGCCTCCCCCAAGGAATACCACAAAGCTCGGTCCCGAGACATCTGCATTCGTCGACTTCCTGCATGTCTTACCAGGTCGTTACTCCATCTAGTGGAGGGCCGTCCTACACCTCGCTTACTGGTAGGAGGCTGCCACTCGAGAGAAACCTATCTGTTGGGAGATACTATTGAGATCATTGAGCATAGTGCTGAAGTCCCCGAGCGATTTGCCATAAGGATTATACTGTCGGCAAATCGAATCAAAGGTGAGTAATGTACTCACCATTGATACTGTATCTTTCCAGTCCAATAGCTTGCAAACATCTTCCAGTGCAGCGGAGATATTATAACGTCACCCTGTCTTACATAACTTTGCAGTTGGGTGAGTTTCGTACTCTCTCTCTCTCTCTCTCTCTCTCTCTCTCTCTCTCTCTCTCTCTCTTGAAATAATACTAGTTTTTACGGAATTTATCGCGTATATTTAACTTTGGTCACGGGCGGGACTGAGATGTTCAACGTCCATATGTCATAGTTCACCGCGGTTACCATAGATTAAAATTTAACTTTTGTTCCGATCTATGCAGTATGAACTTATGGTAACTTGAAGTCTGGCAGTTGTATGCTTGGGTTGGGATTTGATTTTATTTATTATAGGATCCCAAGCAGATGGTAGCACCCAGCCATCTTCTCTATTGAAATTAGGATGTTTTTTGATTTCAATAGCTTCGCGAATCATCCTTGGAAGGAATCGGTGTTCTTTAGCGAGGCTTTGCGGTCTATCAAATCTGATGTAGTGACGGGGGCGATCCTGTACGTGTTCACAGACTGCAGACTTCCCGGAGCGTCGATTCTTCACATCAGCTATATGTTCTTTAACGCGGGTTTTTATTGATCTTTTAGTTTGTCCTATGTAGGAGAGACCACATTCACAATCAAGCTTGTACACTCCTGCATCTTGCAGAGGGACATTACACTTGACTGATGGTAAAAACTGACCAATCTTCTTCAGCGGCTTGCAGTATGTTTTGATGGAAGCACGCTTCAAGATGTAGCCAATCTTGTCTGTGACTCCTCTAACATATGGTAGTACAGCAGGTACACGCTCAACTGTGGCCGGCTTCACTCGTTCACTGTGACGTAGGCGCGGGACTCGAAGCTTGTTGTCATGTAAAACTTGCTTGACATGGTGGAGCTCTGCACCCAGGTGTTTACTGTCACAGATCCCTCGTGCTCTCTGAAACAAAGATTTAACCACGGTAGCTAACTGTGAAGGATGGTGGTGAGAATCACCGTTTAAATATCTATCTGTATGGGTCTTTTTTTCTATACACAGTATGGCTCAAGGTGTTATCAGGATTCCGGATTACTAACACATCTAGAAAAGCTAAGGAATTGTTTGCCTCTAACTCTATTGTGAACTGAATTTTAGAATTTATAGAGTTTAAGATGGTCTAAAAATGCAGTTACTTTATCTAAAGGTAGAATTGTGAAAGTGTCGTCTACGTACCGCTTGTAGAATCTTGGATTTATGGGAGAACTAAGCAGGGCTTTCTCCTCAAAGTCTTCCATGAATATGTTGGCGACAATGGGAGATACAGGTGAGCCCATCGCCACACCATCTACTTGCTTGTAGAACTCCTCCTTCCACAATAGGTAGCCAGATGTAAGGCAGTGTCTGAGTAATACTGCATATTTTACGGGCATGTCGTTTTCTTCCAGCCTTCTAGTTACAATTGAGATGCAGTCTTCAACAGGTAAGCATGTAAACAATGACTGCACATCAAAACTGACCATAGTTTCATTGTCTGCCAGATGTAGGTCTTTAATCTCGCTGACAAAATGGTAGGAATCCTTTATGTGTGCTCTTGTATGTCTCCTGAGCGGTGAGAGTATTTTCGCTAAGTGTTGAGCCAATCTGTAAGTTGGTGAATCGATTTGGCTCACTATGGGACGTAATGGAGCATTGGGCTTGTATATTTTTGGTAACCCATACAATTTTGGTGATTTGGCGCACGTAGGTATTATCCATTTTACGTCCAGATTTAATTTTTCGGAGTGTTTCTTTATGAGGTCACTAGTTGTTTTTAGTGTGCTATTTGTTAGGTCGTTTTTAACCTTTTTATAAGTACTTACATTCGACAAAAGTTCTTGTATTTTAGAATTATAATCTGACGTATCCATGACTACCGTGGCGTTTCCCTTATCTGCGCGGAGAATCGTTAGTTCTGGTTTATTGCGTAGGTTCTTTAACGCTATAAATTCGTCTTTGGGAAGATTCGGTTTAGGCACTGAACATCGACGTAACATAGACGAAATGTCTTGACGTTTTTTTCGCATATTGTTTTTAAATAAACAGTCCTCGACACTACTTCGTACGGTAATTTGCGGGGTGTAATTGCAAAGTTGAGGCCTTTGGATAACACCCTAATTATTGCATCATCCAGTGTTTGTTTTGACAGATTATAGAGCGCGATTAATCTATGATCTGTGTTTGTCAATGGTTGCTTTCGGTTCTGGCATTGATTCAGATGTTTGACATTTGACTTGTTCGTTAATTTTTGATATTTTTCTATATGTTTGTTTTTGCATTTGTTATATTTACTAATTTCGCGTTTATTTAATGTTTCCATGCATAAATTATAGTCAAACGTCGTTAAAACTTTCTTTAATTCACTGGATGATGTGTCTATGGATTTGTTTATGTCATATAGATCGGAGCGTTTTTGTTGGATTACCGTCCGTAACAACTTTTTACTCGCCTGATTTAAGATCTTAGCGCTTCCTCGAATGTCCTTTTTGGTTGATATTTTGACACACGTAGGAATGAGATTATGGTCTCGGCATCTCTTCAAGAAATTTAAGGCTGTTAGATATCTTGCGCGCTTGGTCTTTAGATCTTCTAATCGGCGTATTTTATTTGCAATTACCAGTCCGTACTGGTTTACATAATGATTTCTTATATTTACGCGAACACTACACATTGAAATAATACTAGTTTTTACGGAATTTATCGCGTATGTTTAACTTTTTAGAGTTAATGTGGTCACGGGCGGGACTGAGATGTTCAACGTCCATATGTCATAGTTCACCGCGGTTACCATAGATTAAAATTTAACTTTTGTTCCGATCTATGCAGTATGAACTTATGGTATCTTGAAGTCTTGCAGTTGTATGCTTGGGTTGGGATTTGATTTTATTTATTATAGGATCCCAAGCAGATGGTAGCACCCAGCCATCTTCTCTATTGAAATTAGGACGTTTTTTGAATTCAATAGCCTCGCGAATCATCCTTGGAAGGAATCGGTGTTCTTTAGCGAGGATTTGCGGTCTATCAAATCTGATGTAGTGACGGGGGCGATCCCGTACGTGTTCACAGACTGCAGACTTCCCGGAGCGTCGATTCTTCACATCAGCTATATTCATTCCTTGACTGAGACTACCAATCTTCTTCAGCGGCTTGAAGTATGTTTTGAAGAATGTTTTGACTTCTGAAGGATATTTAATTCACTTTCAAAAGCTCTGCAGTGATTCCATCCTCGCCTAAGGCTTTGCTATTTTTAACGTGCTGGAGAGCTAAACTAATCCCTCTCAAACTGACTTCTAGAATATCATCGGAGTAGTGTCGGATAAGACTTAATCTTGGATTGTTAAAACTTGGATTGTTAAAATGTTGAACATTAATGTTATGTTGGAAACGTCACATCTATTGAGGTCAACTCACTGTCCACAATGCTCTAATCTAAAGCCCCAAAAAATTTTTACCTCGAATTTCAAAACCGTTTACAGCGCCTAGAATTTGAATGAAAAGCTCATTGTAACTATCCAAATATCCATGTGGTCAGCGCTAAGTTCAGCAAGACCCATCAAAGCAGGACACAAAGAACGGTCCAAGAGTGTAACTCTTAATCTATGGCTGTTAGACGGGTAATGAAGCTGCAGTCTTCAGAAGATTGTAACATCTTAGCACTGACCACATGGATATTTGGATAGTTACAACGAGCTTGTCATTCAAATTATAGGCGCTGTAAACGGTTTTTAAATTTGTGCGAAGTTATGGCAGATGCTATCGTGAAATAGCAACTTAATGCTGCTGTGTTTCGTATGGTGAGTGTAGAGAACCGGAAACCCTTTTTACTGGAAACCAGGCATTCCATCTTAGTCCTCACGGGTGACAACGAGTCTACATTTTGATACGTAATCGAGGACACATGTAGATGTCTATGGGCCGCAACAACCATCAGGTGGACTGCGTGCTCGTTTGTCACCCTACCTTATAAAAAATATATTAAAATGGGTTCCTAGATGATTTAATTTGGACCCGGTAGGTGAAGCTGTTATCCAGATCCAGAATTTACTCGTGCGAAGCCGGAGCGGATCGCTAATACTGATATAAATGTGTGATACTGCAATGGAATTAAAAAGTATTAATCATGGATATAAGATTTTTGATATAAAATCTATGTAAAATGTCGAAACCAGATAAAAAAGTTGGATATAAGCAAAATATTAGATAAATTTATTTATTTTTCAATATTACCCGATCGACGATATCCCAAATAGTGTTTATATGCTTATACATAGTATGTATTGTAAGTAGGTGTTAGTTTGTAAATAGCCTCAATTTGTAGCAAGGGATTACAAATACGCATAATGAATAAGGAACATAACTCTTCGAATGCAGTCATAAACATTTTTTGATCTTTTTGCATGTTCACTCCTAATACAGTATCTGCAAATATAAAGAACAAATCAAACCACACGTATTTAAAATATTGGTTAATAATTATTTAAGTCAATGAATGAGATTCGGTAATAACTTGTTCCTTTTCTTCATCAGCTCATGAGGTGCGCTGCTGAACATGGGCCTCTTTTTATATAAAAAGATCAAACGAGCATAAGGGTTACCTTT